GCACCTATGGAAATTTGCGAATATTTGAACTCATACTAACCGTAATCCATGGATTTTAGCACCCTCATATAGATTAAACCCGCGGATATACGGGTGCAAATGTATGGGTTCAAATGTACGTGGGTTCATATGTACGGTCACCGCATAAACTGTCCACCCAATCAGCGACCGCAAATGAGATGAGATTTTCTAAGTATCTTAAATCCATTCTACACCTTGCATAATGTATTATTAATGGTATCGTCAGACTCCAATTATACCGATTCTCTCTGAAAATGTGTGAATACGGAATATTGGCGAATCGAACAAATATTGATAGGCATTCGTAGAATCTTGCAGAACTGGAGGGCCCCGTCACTTTCCTATCGACAAGAGTTTGATTTTATATTCAACACCCATCTTAACTCTTATAATATATATATATGTACAGAATATGTCAATGCGTATGTTCTTCAAATATATTGCAATTACCTAACCGGTGATTCAACATAATAGGCCACATATGAAAAATTCCCATTTTGACCGAGGTACTTCACCATAGCGTCTTTGCTCCATAGAACCCTCTGGTGGTCAAGACAAAAATATATTGCGAAGTCGGCAATGGATTTCTTTCATTTTGTTCAAGGAAATTACTTCAGTCATTAAACTTGAAATGTTTCAATATAAAGCATTTAACTGTCTTTGGAATTCCCGGATTTTGTAGCATTTGTAAGGCTTATCGACCGACTTTCAACAAGAACTTATCTGCTTTATTGCGGTCCCCCTTGTCTTGCGCTTATTTACGGTTCATCAGATTCTTGTTTTTAAAATATTAATTTTATTGGACACGAAATGGACCTATAGATCGTTCGTTTTGGTGACATATTGTTGTTGTTATATTTTTTTTCTTGTGAAAAAAAAATCAATTTTCTCTTCAATTATTGAGCCAATTGCCTTGAAATTTCCGTGATTAATATATGTGCTTGTCGCTAGAAGGCTATTACTTTAATCTATTTCAAACATTTTGTGGGCTCTAGCGGATTCGTTTTTTGTGTGAGAAAACGTCATCAAATTTTAAATTAGCGCATCTTGAGGCGGATCCGTGTTCGCGATCATTGCTATTTGTTGGCCATGTTAAGTCGTGAAGACTGCGGTACCGGTAGTAGAGCTGGGCATTTCGAATCGAATATTTGAATCGAGTAGTAAATTATTCGAATCGGTTCAGCGCAAAATTTCGAATCGCCGCCATCTTGTTTTTTTTCGCCAATGGTCGAGGTGAATTCATCAATTTTTTTTTATTGAAGCCATATTTTTTCAACGCGATTCTGACATGATTATTTTCTGTAGTGAGTTTTTGATGAAACGTGTTTCATATTGTGTGTAAACGTTGAGCAATCTGTCTGAGTGATGTATTCTATGTTTTCAGTAATTCATTTGTTGACAGGACCAATTACAATAAAAAAAAGTCGCGTACAATTATATATCTCCCAAGTATTTGAGATTCAATTCAATTCGAAAAAAATATTCGATTTCATTCTGAAATCATCAGGTATTCGAAAAAGTCCCAGCCCTAATCGATAATCTACCGCTGAAGACTAAATACTAGTACTACTGCTTTTTGGCCTTCGTATCCATATATTTGAGCATTGCTTTATTGTTTCAGTTAGAGGCTATAAATATACCTTATAAACACCGATAAAAGTGACTCATTTTTTCAAGCTTTTACATATAAGAGAAACTGGAGTTATCAATTTAAATTATCACTTGTCGATAATAACAAACATTGATAAAGAATTAAATTTCATAAATCTCAAACAATTAATGAAAAAAGAATTCTACTACATTCGACACACAGATTTTCAACTTAATTCTTCTATACTTTTATCAGTGCTCAAGTAAGATAACCAATGACATAAACTAGACATTGTCGCGTCAAATTTAGATAAGAAGATTTGAAACCTGTCTACCAACATTTACCTGTATCTGGTCCAGCCATAGTCAGATAGAAAATCGATCAACACGCAAAAGGCTGTGCTTAAACGTTGGGAAGCGACCCATCAAACGTGATACAAAATAGGCATCCTTTCCCATAGGGTTGACAGGTGATAAATTCTGGCGCGTCGGCATCAAAATCAAATGAAAACAATCATCTTTGTTACGGCCCACGTTTGTCTATGCTCGCAAACTTTTCTTCCGTATTAGTGGAAACACTCCCAAACAGCCTGTGGACCGTCATATATAATTATCTGTATCCAATAACGGGAAGCAGGCGAAAAATAAAGTAGAGTAGTCTGTTCAGTCAGATTTTGAAGAATGACTCTGAAAATTACGGGAGGTTGTAAACTGATAAAATCTAAATACGTGTCAGTAAACAGGATATCGCCCTTGTTCTTTTGATTGAAATGTTTTTTGTTTCAATGTTTTTATGAAGCGTGGCGAAGAAATCTAGGTGGGATGTACTGATGGTCGCCTTTGAGGTTTTGAGTGTGTCCATTTTATCCAGAGATTGTCGTATAAGCTGATTATGCGCTATGGCGGGCCCATTTTAAGTCGGCATCATAATCTTTATACTCCAATTTTACGGCCGAATTCGTGCGGTGATATTTATCTAGAATGCAGTGGACGGCGTGGTCTAAAGTTTTGACTACTAGCTTTATTAATATCGAAGTCGCTTGAAAAATGCTACTCTGTGTTTGGAATTTGCCACCCACGCTGGTATAACAACCGCCTTCTTTGATGTAAGGGGAATGAGATTTTGACAAGTGCTCATTTTTGATGAGAATCGGGATTTTAATATGCTGTACTGCAGAGTAGTAGCACAGCCGCTAAAAATTTAGTAGAACCCCGTGCTGTTGTATTCACGAACATCTAAAGTGAATCATAGTAAAATCGACTCAACTAGAAAATTTACGCCGTTTCAACGTCGTTTTCAAAACAGCAGAAGCACATAAGAAGATTAATTAATGGATTACGAATAGGCTCAGTCAGAATTTGTCAAATACTTCCCTTCTTCAGTTTCTATAGACATAGGTAGAATAGGCGCAGCGAATTTGAAACTAATTTATGTGTCAATGTAAAACATTCAAGCTTTGATAGATTATTGATGTTGGAAAATACGCACTCGTTAGTGGTAGCCAGTTTACCGTTAGTTATACTTTGAAATATTAGAGCCCGAGTAGCTAATCTCGATCTTAATCTAGAATGAGCGTTTTCCATTTTCCCAGAAGTATTTTGCGGCTATTTCTGAAAACAGTCGCTCTAATTAGGTAATATTTTAGACATGAATATATCATAGTTCATGGCACCGAATTCTATTAGAGACGAAATAATAAGAAGGAGTAGCCTACATATTATCAAAATATGACATATTTACAATTTTTTTATACAAATAAAATTTTTTGTATAAGTTATAATCTTGATTATACCTTTTGTGTGTGACTACGTTATTGCCTTCTTAACAACATCATTATATTTTATCCAATTTGAGCAAGTATATTGGTATGTTCAGAATTTTGCACGAAAAGATGAGTTGTTTTTATAAGACAGTTAATACTGTATTAGGTTCATTTTACATTTCCAAATACTTTCTCAATTAGTTGTAGGTCTTCTTAGAAATGGATATTCAATATTATTTATTCAAATATGTTAGAATTTAGCAAAAGGGGTATGGAACGATATGAAACTTTTACATTCTCTAAAAGTTTGGATATAACAGTTCTATATCCAAACAGGTAATAAAGGTTCTCAATTAAATTGAAGAATACATAAACCGCTTTTCCTTCGATGATGTTTTGACCCTGAATGTATACGCGGATTACATCTTGAGTTATATTCAAATCATTCATTGAAATGAAATGTATGTGTTTTATTGAACCTCATATACATGACCGACCACTCGTATATTATTACTCTTTGCGGTCCCTTGAGGTGCTGGACAGCCTCAAGGTACCTGAAGTATGTATAAAACAACGTAGGTATGACGTCATTGGCCTTGATAAAAGGCCAAATCACGTTTGAACTTGTTGATACTAAATAAACTATCTAAGCCTTAGCAATGTAGGTCATGCTAAATTTATCACGTAATGAATCGAATTATAAATATTAAACAACTGCGGTGAAGGCAATCGTCTCATGCAGTTTTGCCAAGACAAAGTGTACGCGTGTATATATACAATTATGATGATTTTAACTTTTCCTATTGGTCATGTATGCCTATACGATGCAATTCAGAGGTATTTTCAGAGGAAATGAGCATTTAAGAATATAATCCAGAAAATAGATGGGAATAAATATAAGACAATACATTTATTTATTGTTTATTGCATGTCAATATTAAACATTTTTGATGTATTGTGCCATTTTGGAGAAACGATGAATATAATGTAACAGCCATAATAAGGTGGTAGGAAATTCAGTAACCCACGTTAAAGTACATAAAATATAAAAATATTCAAATCCTGCCGTCTTCTTCATACGTTATCCTGAACAGATTCATTTTCTAAGATATGCGTCCTTGTTGGTCGGTCCACTTTCCTTTCCAATAATGCATAATGTTGATTCTAGTCTAACTAGTAATTACGATTCTGCAGAAAAATTTCGATGAAAGTCGCCACCATATTCTGACCACACGAAATGTATGTTTACTTACACATTGCTTTTAAGTTCCAGTTTTATGTTTGTTTTATGGTTGTTAAAAGTGTTGACCTATCGGAAGATCACCGTCGATGGACAAAGATTGACCGAACTTATTTGTGAGGTATATCCGACTTGAAGTAGCATTGAGGAGGGCTATTCTGGTTTTCCCATGAGTTATTATCGATGGGCATATCAGCATTTCATTGTTTTGCGCCGTAAAAGCTACAAAGAAAGGAGTATTTTGTACAAGAGTAAAGAAACATTTGTGATTTATAATGTATTGGGTCTAACCTGTTTTTGACAAAAATTTTTGAATATGCATTTTTATATAACTACCTACAATTTACATTTTCAGTTGATATTTAAAAATGTATTTAAAAATTATTTTCGTTGTTTTTGTGATGTATCAAATAATTCACCCGTCAAATATGTCGAGAACTTCATCGAGAAATATTCGAGGTGAGATCTTTTTATTTTTCAAGAGCTTTGGAAATAATGAGCAAAACTTGTCTATTATATTTTGACGACAAAAAAATACTTCATAGAATTTTTATGAAAGGCGATATTGGTGTAAATTTCACAAACTATATACTTTTATGATAGCGGAAATCTTTTAAGCTTTGTAACTTTAGATGTAACCTCAACATTTACAGATAGCAATTTCAGGATTTGGCTGCTATTACGCACAAAATATGTAAATGTGACTCCATCAAATCTTCAATGGGGTTGAGTATACGATATTCATTTGCATTGTACAGCCAAAGTGGTAACTTGGAAGCTAATAGACTGATAGAGGCGTACGTCATTTTGGACATTTGGTACTTCGCATTCTAATCTAGACCTTTTCAAGGTCATGTGATCAAAGCGTATTCGTAATTTTTTTGATTCAGTTAGATATGTCACATTATTCTAGTTTGCTTCAATCGAAATAATTTCAAATTTCATCATTTCTGTACTCGGTACTCAAACAGTTACTTAATACCGTATCAACCATACATATGCCCTTTCAATCTGCAAAGAAATTTTGTCTTGCTTTCGTTTGCAGGATTATCTGATTATTTCCCCCTCAACGGTTGCGCACATATTGTAATCTTGTACAGTACTATACGGTGTGAACTGGACTGAACCCTTTGATAATTTTTGTAAACAAACTCGTATTCGGCCTTAGTGGTTTTATCGTAGCTACAAAAACGAGAAGAGTGTGGGACTGAAAATTTCTACAGCAGCGCAGGTGACCCCTGCCGAGTTCATTTTGATGAACTTCCTCGCCAATCTTAAATAAGGTTGATAATAATTATGTTGTTATTTGTAAATTGGGGCTCTATTTACTTTGGGTCAACAGCAACGTCCACGGGTGATCTTCAAGGGGAATATCTAAACCTGAAACAACAAACCCAAATAATATCCCTGAAATAGGATTAAATAGCATGTATTATAACCATGTGTTCAAGGAAATTGTAGGTAAAACCTGTATCAAGCCAAACCGACTTACCATTTCTTGTGTTTTTACCGTTTCTGGTGTTATATAGTTTAATTAACACCCGTTTCTCCCGATTGCTCTGGAGGTATATTGCGAAAATTATATTTTAAATGTTTCAGCAACGAATCCTTGTTCCAAGGTTTCTTGTTTTTACAATTCCTTGTGTGTTATCGATCCGAGCACAGATGAACCAATTTGTGAATGTCCGAAGAATGAATGTGATGGCGTTGCTTCGTTCCCTGTATGTGCAGGTGGAATCACATTCAAGAGTGCGTGCCACGCACAAACTTATATGTGCGAGGCCCAGAAATGGTTGACAATACAGCACGTTGGACCATGTGGTGAGCTTTATATCTTACTATCTTGAGATCAAACGAAATAAACCTTATTCCAGGTTAAAATATTTCCAATGGCCAATATTAAAGCTACTCTTGTTTTCGTAAAGTAGATAAGATTTTCATATTTATCACGGCGGAGAAGAAATTCTCATAGACGGCTTATTGATCTGGTGATCAACGGCCTCTTGTCCGTTTACCAGTCCATGCCAGATTATGAGAATACCTAACCAAAACAAATGATATACGTATAAAAAAATTAGTATGAATGCACCGAATCAAAAGTCTATTTTCCTAATTAAATGTTCTTATTTTACAATACAATATGACTTATCCGAATCGCTGAAAAATTTGACATATTTCGCGACTTTGAGGCAATATAAACAATTTGAAATCTAGATTATTCGATTTTGGGATTGAATCCGAATTAGAATACTATAAACCATTTGGATATAAACATCCATGATTCCAACATATATTCTATATCGGTCGACACAAATGAAACGATACGAGGCAAACAGTCGTAAAATAGCCAGACGTGTCATTGTTCGAATATCGGAAACAATGAATTCTAAATGACATTTTTATTAGTTTGTAAACAGTTAATTTTCAGCACATTTTCTTTTTAGTCACACTTCAAAATGTAACAATTCCTTTTAGGTGATTCATTTGTGTATTTGTTGTTATTTGCCTCATAACATACTGAATTAATGGAAGTCTGAGAGCGATTTGTTGTGCCACATTTTTTTTGTTTTTTAAGTAAATACTATCGCATTGGGGTAAGATGACTGCTAAAAAGCAGCATTGATTTTATTTAAAATGTTTGACTGCGTGAATTCTACAGGATTTCTGACTGGAAAATAGGTTTTTCTGAATGGGAAAACTTGTAAATATTCAAACTTGTAGATGAACTTGCAATTTTCTTGACTTATAACCTATCGATGGATATTATATATTTTGATCAGTGGCTAATCATTTCTGAATGAATAACAGCGAACGTTTTATATTAGTCAAAAGCTTGTAAAATGCCAAAAAAATTAGACCATGAATCTGTAGATAAGATAAAAATATCAGAATGAAGTGGAAGACGGGGAATGTCTTCAGAAATGTGAATTTGTTTAGCGTCCCAGGTGGTCAACTATTCTGAATGTAAGATACGATTTATTTTTTGTATCACAAAATCAGCACCTGGATTCTAGCTTGTCAGATGTTTCACAAAATTTCTTGACAAAACATATTTCTCGACCACCTGCTATTTGATTATATAGGTATGCAAAAAATAATGCCCTAAATCCGTTTCAATTTAATACTATCACGCATCATGATATTTACTGTTTATGTTTGTTGGTATTGTTAACAACTATAGCTAAAAACTATGAATTTCATACGGTGGAAATGTATAAAACGAGAAAAGCAAAATAACTTTTAGGACTACTATGGCGTATTCTGTTGGCATTTTCGGTCATGGATATCAATTTGAGTTCATTAAGTTATTGACTTTCTATCGGATTCATGAGCTGATAAAATTATATGGGATATGTGGTGACCGTACATTTGAACCCATGCGTATATCCGCGGTTTCAATCTATATGCGGGTGCTGAAACTCATGGGTTAGGGTTAGTATGGGTTCAAATATTCGTGAAAACAAAAAAAATTCCATAGGTGTAATAGTATGCAGGTGCAATCGTCGTGGGTTCAAATGTACGTGGGTTCAAATGTAATGGAACCGGGATATGTAGATTATACTGAATAATCTTGATTATGTTTAAAAAAAAACGAAACATAGTTTTAGATATCAAATATGAGTCGGAAAGAGCATTATTCATGTGCCTACATGGCTTCTTCCAAATGCCAAACTCGCATCACGCCCTGATATACACCCACATGTTGAAACTTATTCGCGCGGTTTCCTGTTTTTGCGAATTACTATATTCAAATAGTGACATGTTTCATTACGTTGCCAGATTATCATTTTATGCACAAGCGTATGTCATTTTTATGGAGAAGCGTTTGGAAACGTCATCTTATCCGTGGTCCAAGCTCCAATAATTGTGTTTTAAATGTAGATAATTCCAAGGTCATAAACCGACGTTAAACACGTAATATTAGTTGTTTAGTAAACATGATAACTTACATACCCCACGCACGTACATACGCACGACAAGATCTAACGTAACATCATAAATGTCAAAATAGCCTATGACTCACAATGAAAAAATTTAGAATTTTTCAAAGTAAACTTAAATGATCCTTTTATACGGTTTGAGAATCAAAGCAAATACAAATCGCGCAGAAGACACCTAAAACATCCCGAAGTGGTTTGAACCCTATACGTCTAAACGGCTACCAAGTCCTGTAATCAGGTATCTCTCACTGAATAAAACTTACTATACTCCTATTGTCAAGTACATGCCAATCATTCCCTGTCACTTCATTGGTCTTGCGCGTCTTCATCCGCGTGAAAAATAGCGGGAGACACGTTTGTGCATGGCTGTAATCTAGACGTTACCGTCGATCCTCTTGGCAAATAATGAAAATGAAAACAGAACATGAAATATATTTCATATATATTTGATAAAAATTTTACAATTGTTTTACATTTATCCGTTTTCCAACAGGAGTTCAGGAATGTGGACCAAAAAAAAACTGTCCATATAACGGGGAATGCGTGGACGGCACATGCGAATGCCAAGAGTGCGATGAATCAGAACGACGAAAATTTCTAGATATTGGACCGATGCGACACACATCGGTTTGTGGATCAGATGGGATAACTTATGAATCAGAATGCCAACTGAGATATCAGTCCTGCATGTCAAGAACTCTTATTTTAATTCAAAGACATTCTGCTTGTCATAGGCGTGGTAAGTACACGATTCCGAGGGAAAAATTAGGTGGAACTTTCTATAATTTTCGTGCCAAATATGATTGGAGGAAAAGATTTTTAGACTTATTTACGTATTTTAAACTTGTCCAAAGTAATGAATCGTATATAGCCTGCAAGGTGTATTGATTTTACATCGTGGAATCACTAAGTGTGACTGGTCAGAATATTCAAATTGTAATGGTTTGATACAAATGCTGCTATTTTGTGATATATATTTTAATTTCTGGTAAAAATGAAGTCAAATCTTACCGAGTTCACTATATTTTTAGTCAAATCGCCGGTGGCACGTAATGCTCCTTTGAGGTCATTGTACAACCATTTTGAAGTTTGGCAGAAGACATTTGATAAATCAACACCAAGCGTACCAACCGCCAGATCGGTAAACGGCATCAATTTTGACACTTCCGAAGGTAATTTTGGTCTGTTATTTTGTCCACGAGTCTCGTTAAGAAAATAAGACTACGTTGTTACCGCTATGTGACAGTATAAAGATCTTTAAGTGGCCGGGTATATTTAGATAAATTTAGATTGATTGATATTGCTTTACATTTTTTCTTTGTATTCAAAGTGAATTGGGAGTGTTTCATATATATGATATGTGAACAATGGTATCACTTCATTCCATTTTAGTAGGAAAAACAAAATTTTTACTATACCCAGGATGCGAATAGAAACAACTGTTTAAAAACAAACAAGACTTGCGTTTTATCCTGTTGTTTAAAGCTAAAACGGAATGCTTGGGTTCAATGCTTGCCTACATTCTATGCTACGATTTGAAATTTATACTTTGGCCACTTAGGATAAAATTACTCTCAAGGTGTGCAATTTTATGCATTTTCATATCATTATTTTGAGTTTACCGATTGGTCGGTCATTCGCTTGTCTTGCCTGCGAATGATCTCACTTTTAACGAAAACGTATAAGGTTTTGAAAATTATGCGAGTTTATAGATTATAATCTTGTTTCTGGACAAAGGGCCTTGTTCCAAGTTTGAAATTTATGGCTGTCTTCATGCTCGACACCGGAGGGCACAGCATCTTGGAATTTATTCTCTGGTGCCGAAACGACAGCAACTGGGTTCACCTGTCTACGTTAAAAATACGTTATTCAGGTGAGATTTATGTAATAATATAGACTTTTTTTCAGATTAGCAAGCGATTTCAACCTACAAATTATTATGCTCCTGAGTTAGCTACACGTATCAGATGACACTCGTTTCTACATTAGGCAGATATTATTAACACATTCCTTTAAAATATAATGTTATTTTGTAACAATTCAACTAAATTCCAACTTAACTTATTACACCTTGAATGAAATAGTGGGTATGACTCCGAGATACGTAAACAGCAATACCAGCCCATATTTTTTTTTAGGTAGGGGTAATTTTAAATTTTTTTTTTATAATGACGTGATACGACGCTCACTCGTGCCTTTTTCTCCGCACAAAGCCAGATAAAGTAGCCACTGACAATATCTTAAGGAATCGCTCTGCAGACGTAGGTCTACCTCGCTGTCAAAGTTATCCTGGGCATATAACCGCGTATTTTCAACTATCTCGTTTGGTTCATATGGCGAAAGGATTATTGATAGCAGCCAGAAAACGTCCGGTTTTCAGTAAATCGTTCAAGAATATAGTTCATGAATAATGCTGTTCGAAAAGGCGTATAAATTTATGTCTTACAACAAATGCGCAAAATGGCAAAAATATGTTGAACATTCTGGCCATGGCCCCTCAGACCCCTCTCCTGGCTACGCGTATGGATCGAACTCGTTTAATTACCATCCTACCCTTGGACGGTATGAAAATACTCGTTCAGGGTTGTGATAATTTTGAATCCCAAATTCGTTCCTATGAAATAAGCGTCAGTTACGACTATTTAGTCTTACAATGGAGTCTAAATAAACTAACGGTACATACTTCTACATTTATCTCATTCCGTTTTGTTAAAACTACAGGGCGACGTGGAGGCCGGTTTATCTTTCAAGATATAATTCTTCTCGGTTTATAAATGGGACTTGGGTTGTTGGATCTAAGGTAATTAAACAAATAATTGTATATTTTCAAATTATTTCAGTCAAACCTGATTTATTTTATGATATTATTTAACTATACAAATAAGAAATAATACAAAGATTTACGGGGAACGTACGTGCCATCGAGTCAAAAAAGACTAACAGTCCTATAAATGTTATAAAAAAAAATAAGCACAAACAAAAATAATAAAAAAAAAACAGAAAAACTAGCAAACGTGAATTCATTATTTCGACGTCACTTACTACTTAATTAATATATATTACAAGTTCCACAATGTTATCATCAAATCATCAATGTAGGTTGGATCCGGACTCGGATGGTTTGGAGTCAACGATCAAGCCACAGAACCGGAGTTCATAACGGGAATTTGGTTTTCAACATCTGGTAATAGGTTAAAGCCTTGGCGGCCCGAGCCGGAGGTAGCAGGTCGATGTGTTGGAGCTGGTTATGGTTCGAAATCAATGGGTAAGCAAGCAGTCCCTTGTGGTGTAATTTAAGATACTTCCGGTAAAATACAGGCATTGCAGGAGATAGTTAAAGTTACTTTTGTGGTGTAAACCAGTTTGTTTATTTTTCAGAAAATTTCAATAGGATGTTTTCATAAAACTGGTAACTGGAGGTAGTTTGTATTCAATACCCAATGTGTTGAATATCTCTATCAAATGTCTCTTGCCTCGTGCATATTTCCTGTGATATTCTTATAACCTAATCAGATTATTAGTACAGGCCGCCACAAAGGGAGGCGTGACTAAGGCTTTGACCAATCAACAAACTGAATGGAATTTCTAAGAAAAAATCTCGTTGATTAGTTAGTGTTGTTCGCGTGAGCTAAGGAAATACTTGACGCCTATGACCGACAACTTTATTGAAACTTGACGTTAACTGATTGCTTTTTATTATTTAAATATATCACTCAGTAATCATCAATGTACGTATGCTACTTATTTGTTTCTGTAATCGATGTTCTCGTTGTGTATTTGGGATAGTTCGTAAAAGATGTTTTCGTCGTGAAACGCGGCTATCTTTAAAAAGACGGTCTGTACCAACATACACTTCTGATTCTTGGACACGAAATGGGTCTATTGATCGTTTTGTTATTATGTTGTTGTTGTGAAAAAATAGCTTTTCAATTCAACTACACAAATAATTGCTTTGAAATTTCCAGTGGTTATGTCTTGTTGTTGTCGCCATATGGCTATTACTTCCTTATTTCAAAAACGCATGTGGGCTTTATGGGATTCGTTTTTCACTTCGAAGTTTTCCGTGACATCATTAAAATTAAAAAATTGCGCACTGTGCCGTGGTTTTGTGATCACATTTCAGTGATATGGTGGTCAGACTGGCGGTACTGTAAAAAATTTGATACTTCTTCGTTTTGGCTTTCGTGTCCATATATTTGAGCATTACACTCTTGTTATATATTTCATATTAGAATGCAATCTCGGAGATGAACGTGGGCCATTGGGAACGAACTGGCAATCTGCAAACCTTGAAACACCTTTGTACGAACTTGAATTAAAAAGACCATACGGAGAAAATCTTTACCAACCAAAAGGGAAATTGATTGGTATGCAAACATGTTTTATCTCATTGTTATGAAGATGGTTGAAGATGAAATATCCCATGTGTGAAATATTTGTATAGATTAACAGATGAATCATGCAAATGATATCAAATCTAATAATATTATGGTATAATTTGCACAAATAGCAAATTTTTAGATTTCTGACACTATTTCCTATTTTTAGTTGAAATATTCACAAACAACCGAGCTTTAAGATTTAAGTCGGTCTATTTATCAATACACAACGACGCTGGAGATTGCGGATTACCAATATTGAAACGGGTAAATAATAAATGATATATTCGATATTTATTGTGCTGAAAAAAAGAAAAAAAACGACTCATAACGACTTTGTTTTAATATACCAGGCAAGACACAAATTTAATTCTCGTTGTGGCGGAAAGATATTATCAAGGACGGGGAAAAGAATGAAACGAATTGTTTTCCAATTTATAGCGCCACCGCGAGGCTGCTTAACATTCAGGTAAAAATTTATGAGGTACTTACAAGACACCTCCTAATAGTATGAATATGACGTAGCAAGAAAGACAACTATAACCATTAAAACCCATAATGCTACATTGATTCAAGTAGTCTGCGAAATCGTATCTTCCTAACTACTTTTAGTGTTTTAATGTGAAAATATCTTTCGGAAGAACTTTACTTTTATAGTTTTTTTAAGTTACCCTTTTTCACTACTACCCGTCATTTTATCTCAAATTTTAATCAATTTGAGGAAAATTAGATGAATTTCCCACATACGTATTAAGATGAAGAGGTACTCAACGAATAGCATATATTCACGGTCACGAGCCTTTGTACCATATATCTGACATTGCTATCTTTGCAATTTTGCGGCCAATACCAAAAGTGTTCTTTACCAAACCAATGGTAGTTTGTAAAAATTAATCTAAGACACATAGTCAAATGTTTCTAAAAAATTACCGTTTTTGATGATTCTTATCACGAGAAGACGCCTAGCATGTGCTCCGTGGAGAAACAATAATTTTGAAGAAATTTTGCATAAGTGTTTTAAAGTTTTATTAAAATCCATTTTGTATACAGAGCTCTCTTGATATCTGTTACTGGCGAAGTATATTACGATAACAACATGAAAGGATCATTACAGCCGAGGCCACTTACAAGAAAGATTTGCCACCAGGGATACCGAAAGCCACCGATTATTTCTGAGAATTTATAGATGGTATGGGAAGCGGACAGAAACAAGGATGAGAAAATTATACGTGAAACATTAAGATGGATGAAAGATAAACATATCAACAGCGTACTTTCATTGCCTTGTAATCTATCTAATACTCTTAATCGTGGCATATTAGAATTATACAAAATAAATGCTACAGCTAAGACGGAAGAATGAGATTAAATAAAAATGCGTTTCCCCATCATTGCGTGCACTGCGGTGGATACTACCACCTGCTGATTTAAGCACCATGTACACTTGTCATCGTCAATTGCAACAAAATTGAAACACGTTATATTCTGGCCAGAGTCATGGAGCTGCGTAAGAGTTGTATCCAATTGACAAAAATGAATCTTAAAATCCGGATTCCAACTTATGAGTCTACAATCCGCATTCTGTAACGGAACCATATTTCACTTTCATATTATTTTCCTTCACTTTTTAATCATAAAATTCATAAGTTTTGTACATTTTGCTAAATATAAGATTTTTTTCACGATGTTTCCTGACCCATTTAATAAAAGAATTGAATTTTGACAGGAATAACGAGAACTTTTCGCGGATTTGGCTAGCCATTTTGATATGAATCGTTAAGTGGCGCAATTAGTACATGTCAAATGGGTGTTGCAATATCGGAAGTAAACAATGACGCATTTTCTATATTACATGTTTGCAAGTGGCCGCGGTCGAATTCCCCTTCGTCTCTCTACATACCTTGGGGTAAATAATAAATATAAAGCTTGGATCGATGATAAACATTATTGAACAACAGAACATTTCTTCCAAAAATGCAATGACGCAATGTAAAATGTTTTCAAAGAAAATTGCGCAAATTGTACCGTATAAACAGTTGCTTTCGACGTTTTTTTTTTAGAAATCGAAGCAAAATAGATCAATAATGTCGTAATACTCTGAATCTGATATTCAATCGATGGTCGTTGACCACGGACATAGTAATGAGAAGGTAACACGCGAAGGAGACAGGAAAATAAAAGCGAATCAGCAGTGAAACGCGAAGTCGATGTAATCGAGACATAATGGGCAGAATTTAGAGTCTCAGACAAGGCCTTTAGGACAATGCCCGAGCACAAACGAATAATAGACGCGAATCAATCAATCTTATTTTGGTCACTCTGATAGAAACAAAACAACAACAAATGGGAACCAAAATTTAGAGGACCTGGAAGACGGGCATAACTTAATGAAAAAGTTAAAAACGTACAAGTACGTGCCCGTCCACCTAAAACAGTCAAAAGAAGAAAACAAAATGAAGACACGCTAAAAAATCGGGCAATACCTTTTAAATCAAGTTAGGATGTGAGACACTGATCAAAAGAAGATCATGGCAATACTTTATTTATACAATAAACTAGAATTCAAAAAGAAAAAAGTTGTGGCAGCGGTTCTTATATGGTGCAATATTTTTTTAAAGGAGAAATCTAATGTTACATAAAAATTTGTTGTATTTATTCAGAGAAAGATTGATGCATTGCCAAAACACAAATATAACAAATGCAATAAGGTTTATGAAAACTGTATACAGCATGCAAGTGAGTAGCGTCTAGCTACAGCACACAAATAAATATAGATAGTGCCAAAAATAATATACGATTGCGACACATATCACACATCTGAATAACAGTCAGGAGAACATTCTCCGGTTGCATATGAAAATTTCCGAACTACTTCAATGAAAAGAAAGGGTGCTCACTGGCCGACTAAGCCAGGCAAAGCAAAATGCATGTCTTAGACCGTAGTAGTATATATTTACGCTTAGACACACAAAGTTTTTGCGATTTACAATATCTAAAATGAGGCACATGCAGTATGTTCCCCAGCTTTTTATTTTAGAGGGGATGTCTCCAACTTTAGGGGGTGGTAGGTATTTTGTTATTAGTGATAAAACTATTTATAACTTATATGAAGGAAAATCCCTGGGCACATGTGCCGACAAGTACTTTACACAAAATTATACTCGTCACAATCACAGGGACTCTTCTGAGAGTTTTCCGAAAATTTTAATGACATTTCCGACTTCAATCCCGAACCGAACCCGTAGCACTACTTTAACAACAAGCATCGCCATAATACCACAAGTATTGTTTATTTCGCAATTTTTGTAGTTGCAATCAAGTTCATCGCGAATCTAAAGTCATCGGCGACCTCTCGCCGCTAGAGTGAAAAAATGACGTTTATTGTTTTGATTTTTGATACGGTTGAGTAACTTTGATGTCATTATATAAGCGCGTTATGTCGCAATCGGTTCAGTTGAACTTTAAAGTCTACTTGCGTTGTCTCTTGGGGTTTAGAGTTTTCTGTGGGTTCCTGTCCGGAGATTCACTTTTTTTGTTGCTTCAAAGTCTATTAGCCTATACCAATATACTACAAGAAAGTAAATTGTGGCGTTAATTGAATCTTCGATATAGATTAAAGTGGCAATTTATTAACAAATATCTCAATTTATCTGTGGTAGATCATCAAAATGTGCGATCGTAATATTTTGGAACCGAGCCACATATTTGCTTCTTTAAAACCAGATAAAAACTTGCAAGACAAAGAGCATGTTGATTGTAGGCGTGCACCGAAACGAGAGGTTCAAGTTACCGGTTCAGCTGAACTTATGGTAGCACCTAGCATTTGTGTCTTAACTGTTGTAATCAGAAGTGAAAAATCCGCGTCTGATGAAGCAAAAAACAGTGTTTTGAGGCGTCTTGAATATGTACAACAAACCTTCAAAAATCATGGAGTTCAGGATGGTGATATGATTGTTGTTAAGAATTTGTCAAGGAATGCTGCAAGATGTCTTTACGTAATGGAAGCTCAAGTTGATGTTACTTTTCGCAACAGCGTCCACAAATGTATGCAATTGCACAATTTATTCGTTGAAAAACTTGATGACACAGTGAAAGTCTTAAGGCCTCAGCTCATGCATGACAAGCAGAAATTGGAAGGTATTCGTAAACAAGCATGCTTAACGGCACTTGCAAATGCTCGGCAAAAAGCGATAGAAGTTTGTCGTATGCTTGGCCAAACGATTGGTCGCCCAATTTGTGTGAAAGAAGATTTTTGTGATGAGACTTTGGGCTCAAATTCCAATTGTCAGACAAATGAAGAAGACCACGTTTTACTTGGAAATCCGACCTCAATTGATCTTCAACAACGAGTGAAAGCAAACACCATCACAATCAAAGCTCAAGTTTCTGCGACCTTTGAACTGAAGTTGCCAATTAAACATAGGAAATGATGTTTAGATTTAGGCCTCCATTGTGAATACCTATTAATTATGTATTATTGAATGATAAACTATCATAAAGCTAGTGAATGCATCATAGGGCAGAGAACTGTGAAAGTTAGTCTTTGCAATTTGTGAGTGTTTAAATATTTAAAATGAAACCCTAAAAACTTAATTTTTAATTCTGAGATATTTTGGTGCTTTAATGTGACAACCTAGTTCTGTAGATTGCAACCACTTCAGTCACTTTGGAAAGCAGTGAATATTATTTTGTTATGAAATCGGCGTAACTTAGAATAATATTGTTTGTGATATCAATTTCTATGATGATTCAGCTTATTCTTGCAAGTCGCCATACTTTGATTGAAGCCACCATGCTTGAATTCTTGCAAAGTCATGAGATGATGCCAAACTTTCTACATAATATGTCTTGTTTATCCTTCTGTTAATAAATCTGATAATCCAATTCCATTATGTTCTATATTTAAACACTTGTAGCACAAATATACTAAACACTAAAAATATAATTGCAGTTGTTTTAGATACCAATTTACATTTACCTGGTTTGTTTCAATGTGATTAGTTAATGTACTGAAAAATTTTTTTTATGAATGTTTTGATATATTCCTATTACTTTTATCATTTCAAAATGTGTTTATATTGATATATATTTTAGGATCAAAATATAGATTATATAGAATATTCTCCACCAAACTTCTGATATTTACATCATTCGATGAAGTGGATTGTCTCAGAATACGAAGAAAATAACATATAAATATGAGTGGTGACGAATGGACTAATCAGAATCCGCAGAGTCATTCTTATGATTCTGCTTGTACTACCAATACTCATGCAAATGATGATGTTATTTTTCCAAATGGATCTATTCCACGGACTAACAGTCGTATGAGGCAGTATAACACATTTGAAAATTCAATGAGCAATTCTGAAGCAATGAGATCTCGATCATATTCACTTCCATATATGACTTGTAATCCAAGGACTAGTAGGAGTCTTTCATTTTTTGAAGGTCAGGGAAATTCAAAGGAAAATGATAAATGGAGAGATAATAGTTTGTCTAGAAATCATAATAAAAGTGGGGACTACTCTGATGTGGAATTCTCAGGATCTACAGAGGTAACAGAATGTACTTCTGTTTTTATTAAATCTGCCATAGAAAATTCATGCCATAGAGAATTTTGACACTTGTTCATGTAGAATCCAAGACACTGCATTCAATAATGTATTCCCCTCATCTCCTTGGTTACTCGCAATCCTGGTTGTGATTGGTTGATCAAGCACACTTCTGTAAAATAAACTCATTCAAAAACATTTTTGTTTAGAATAATTTAACAGTTTATATTCATTAATGTATGGCATCAAAACTGGGAAATTTGGTTACGATAATAATATGTCAATTGAATTGACTATAAATAAAATCACTCGGTTATTTAGCCTTAAAATATGTTCCTCAATTTTCTTTTTTTTTCATTTAGAAATTATTTACAACATCAATTTTTTTCAGGTTGATAATGAAGAAGATATTGAAATTACGAATTCAAGATGGTGTGGCTTCTCTAAAAGACAACTGAAATGTTTATTTGCATTAAGTATATTATCAATATCTGACACAATGGGTTTCTCAATTGTTGCACCATTTTTTCCTGTGGTGGTAAGTGTGACGGGTGTAGAAACACATAAATAAATTAATATTAATAAATTAATAGATGTATCAAAGATGATAAATTCTGATTATATTCGAAGTTCTTCGGGCCATTCATGGGTGAAGATTGTATATGTTAAAGGATAGAAGGCATTAATTTGTAGCTAAACAATTAATTCCTTTCTCTTATTAAAATGTTAAAATGCATATTGAACGTTTTCTCGTTCCACAGGCAGAAGAGAAGAATTTGTCACCAATTGACATTGGTTTGGTATTTTCAGCTTTTTCAATGGCTGGTATATTTGGATCATTTCTCACAGGGGCATTGGTGAGATAATAATTATTAAAATTATCCTACTTATTGAAAACTTTCAACGTGCTAGAAAAGTGATAAATTTCGATAATATCTCATAAGGGTTAGTCCACTACAAGTATGGCAAATTGGCAAAACATCATAATTTACCTACTATCTTTAATACAAATGTTTATTCAGATGAACCCTTTATGGTCATATTTGAACTGCACAAATCAAATCATTTTGAATTTTCTGTACTTGACTCAATACAAAGTACTACTGCGCTCATATCAACACCATTAAATTATTATGGTCGTTGGAGGTTGCAAAAATCTATATGATTCAATATTATACAGCTGTTAGCACATTAGTATTTCTAAAATTGTCACTAGATAATCTATTATTAATTAAGAATCGATTGAGTGCTTGTCGCCTTTTCCTAAACAAATGGATTTTTCCTCATATAATAACTATAGTATTTAATTCTATGCCATGTAATTAATCAGTAATGATATTATGCACCAACCTGTGTCATGCTCCCATATTAGAATCCTTTATTTGCATTAGGATTCTGTTATATTATTATGTATTTCATAGAGATATCACCAATATAAAATTAGTTTACTGTCTACTCTGATGTCCGCTATATATATATAACGAGAGAAAATATTTACTTATGACTGAAATGGTCCGATAATTAACTCTGTACAGGGGTGATTTTAACCAAAAGCAGGTTGAATAAACATTCTTTATATTATGTAGCAAAATACAGCTACAAACACAATGTACTATAGGCATCAAAATATACATCCAATCATGTTTGATGATTCTGTTTGGATCTTTATATCAGGGAGTATTTTATAGCTTTTTCATACCCATGTTCACATAATATCTAATTCAAGTTTTGTATAAATCTGCATAGTTTATCATATACTATGCTAAAAATTGATTACTAATTTTTCTTCTTTTTGTTCAGCTTGTTCGTGTGGGTGCCAAATTTGTTATATTAGCTGGAATGTTATGGTCTGCTGGAGCCACGATATGCTTTGGGTAAGACCATTTATAACATATCTGTTATTCTAATTATTATATTGTGATTTGTGACATACCAAGAGAGAAAGTTTTCCAAAAAATATTCATTTCTGATAATATTGCATGAATAGTTCCAGTGTGAACAGGACACCATTTTGTAAATATTCAAGAAAAATATTTGAGCTTCGGTTTTCATGGTAGTGAATAAATATGCTGCAGATTGCTTTGTTTTCTCAATCTTATGTACTTGCATATAGGTCAATATTAATGAGATAGCCTACTTATAGATTGGGTAACTTACAAAATGCGAACAATATCATTGCATATATGACATCATATTCAATTAAATTCTAAACCTAATATGTAACTGGAACTTTTTACATAAAATTCCATTTTTTATTCTGAATATATTCATTCTTAGATTGCTGATCTATGCTCCACCAAATACTTTTTTCTATCTTTGTCTCCTTTGTCGAGTAATGATGGGGATCGGTAATGCTGCCGCCTTTACAGCATTATTTGCAATTATTTTTCAAGAGTTTGCTGATAGAGCTCTAACTGTGATTGGTATATCGGAGTCACTCTGTTCTATAGGAGGAATTGTTGGTCCGTTAATTGGTGGCTCATTATTTGACGTAAGTACGTGTTATTTTCCAACGTTCGAGTAATGTCAGCTATTCATCGTATGACTTATTCATTTTGACTTGATTACTCATATATTTGTTTAATGTATTATACAATTTGAATTTTTTTCAAATTGAAAATCATTGAATTTTTATTATTAATTTAAAATTCAATAGAGCTGTTTTATGATAGAGTTGTTTAGAGTTGTTCTAATGAAAATGTGGTTTAATATGTGAACTTTTATTACAGGCTATAGCAATTTCAATCTGTCTGTTGCATTGTTATTCTCCAAAACCTGGTATACTAACCACCTTTGTGAAATTTATTACCAAATCTTTTTTTTCGTTTCCGAATTTTGGCAAACAAGAGGGTGTCATTGATGGCTTCATTTAATCATTTTCAATTTATATTCCAGGCTGGTGGTTACCTTGTTCCTTTTGTGTTCTTGGGAACTTTACAATTTTTCGTATTACTGTGTTGCGCAATATTGATACCGCCCGTATCTGGTGAGCGATTTCCTTAGTGTTCAACTATTTATTCTACTAATTTTCTGAGGACGTTCTAGCGCATTAAAAATAAATTGATCCCATATTCGAAAATATTAGTCATTTTTTTTTTCTGGAATAAATTGGTTATTCAATATTTATTTGTTTTCCACTCATTAATACTGCACATAATATAATAATTAAATGTTATTCATTTATACTGTCTGTTAAAAAGCATAGAACGTAAATTGTAACAATATCCAATTTCAGAGTCCTTAGACATGATTTCATTTTGCGTTACTTTTAAAAATGTATTGTCAATTTATCCAGATACTGTATTCACTTTCTTGCAGTTGAAAGACATGCCAATGCCGTTTCACCAGCATGGTTATTGTTGAATCCTCATGGGCTCTTCTCTGCTTTATTTGTTATGTTATCATTCACAGTTAACAGTTTTCTCATCGCAAATATTTCACTTTTTTTAACCCATTCAGTAAGTATTTGCATGTTTGATTTATTAGTGTTAGATAATAATTAAAAGTATTAGGAATGTAGTTTATAAGTCTATAATTTTTTTTACATTTTATCAAAATATTCTATAAAATGGCTTCCAAATTGGCTGATATCATGAGATCATAGCATTACAATTTTTGTATAAAATTTTTGACTATTTTAAAGACCCTGGTTTACTCAGAACATTGAAATAATTCTAGTTTAAGAATTAGGAAAAAAATTTCTTTTTCTGACGCACAATTGCTTCATTTGAAAATTGTTCATGGTTCTAAGGTTTGATGTAACTTGCTGGTGAATATAGATTGCAGATTGCTCCAATTCTTTTTTGACTGTCCAAAATATTCAGACTGAAATATTTATATTTTCAGTTTCATATATCAACATTCATGGTCGGTGTTTACATGTTAGTGATGAGTGTTTTTTACGGAATTTCAACTCCTATCTGGGGATATTTTGCTGAGACAAGGTTAGTTCATTTACCTGCAGAAATTTCCAATCTTAGGCAAACGCTTTTGTCTCTAGATAAAGCTCAGTGTGGTAGAACAATTAAATTGCAATTTTGCTTATTCATTGTCTGCTAGCTAATTTGCCTTGCAATTATGTTGTCTGTTACTGTAAATTTTAATATTAATAAAATAATGCCATCATACTGTATTGGTAAATCAGCTATAATTGATTAAATTGATTAGGTTACAGCTAGACTATATTTAACAAATGTGAGAAAAATTGATTGAAAATGCAAAAACGTAGGAAAAAATATATAATTTGAACTAGCAAGTAAGTTACTGTATATCTCGGCAAGAAATGCTTCAAATGATGGGAAGATAATACATTTGATGTATCGACAATATCTATTTGATTGTGATGTGTCCAGTCTTCATTTTCTAACGAGTGTCGACTTCAATTTCCGCTTCTGAAATTTGAATTTCTAACTCTAAAATTTTTTGAATAAAACGAGTAGAAAACCGGAAAATTGGCATAGTTTAAAATTTTTAATGGTATAAAATTGCAACATGAAGTATTAGATATAATCTTTTGATATTGACTTATAAGAAATGACCTGGATTTTGATTTGGACTATAATGAGATTTGGTGGCCTCGGGCCCAAATAGTCGCCATCTTTTTGATTTTTGGCTCTCATAATCTTGTCTATAATCCGCTGTCTCTAAATTTCATGAAATAATAAAATTAAAGGATTTATGCTACTAGAAAATGGCAGTATTCTGGTATAATTCTTAATCCTTATAAATTCTATAATCATGGGATAACTCTTCGAGGTATTTCATAGTGTAAAATAATGCTGCCAATTTTGAATAATTGAAGTGAATATATCTCACTTATGAATTGAAATGCTGAGTTTGCTCTGTGTGCACCATTAAGGATCTTGGTTAGAAAGGGGAAAAGGACCAAAGAAAAAATTTTCCCTTAATTTTACTTTCGGAATTATTTCATGCTTCAAATCGAAAGTAAAAAAGTTCATGAAGTGCGTCGAATCTCTTGTAAAAAGAGACACTCTCTTGTAAAAAGAGACACGTTCCATATGAATGCAAAACATAATTTCTATGAAAAACAAAACAAAGGAAATTGAATTGCTTTGCGTGACATCTGGAAGGCGCCATTTCTTATGATACACTACACACCCACAAAAGGTTTCAAAATAACCGCGAATGATTTGGATTTTATCCTTATTATCGTGCTATACTCATCTAAGACAAGGGTATGATATAGTGTTTCAATTTTTAATAAAGCTCTAGTTATCTCATAAAATCGAAAACGATACATGCGATTAATTTTTTATTAAAAATGTGTAGCGAGACCACCAATATTAAAATAAGTTAGCAATAAACGCAAAAACTATGCTAGGTAAATGTAAAATATAGGCAAGTTAGGTGGCGACACCGTCATCGTTGCGCGCAAACAACACCGTAACAGATAAGATACCGGTACTACTTCATTTTGGCCACTCTGTCCATATATTTGAGCTTTGTTCTCTTGTTAAGAATAATGTTCACCCACCCCACGCCATTATTAAGTATAAATTTAGCGCATACGATTCTATAAAATAACCCTATTTCTTTTGATCAAGTAAAAAAATTTCTCGTGATTGCCAAACTTAAAATATTCGCCACTACCGCCCTTTATATCAAGTACAATTTTACGACATATACTACGAATAGCAGAAACTATCTTTGATAATATGACGTAACATTTTTAGCAATTTTGACACCTAATATTTTCGACTAAAATTAAGTCCATTCGATTGATCAACGATTAATTCGGTCCTTTTTATCGTTTCATGAAAGGAATGCCCTCTAATTTTATTAAAATTGTCAACCGCGCAATTGACCTTCGTGACGTTTCTTTGATTTGTGAGTATTGTGACACGACCTTGTTAAAAGTGGATAAAATTATGGGAAAATTATTTGTCTGAAATGCGGCGATGACGTAACGCATGCGTTCGCGCAAATTTTTAAATAAATTTATTCAAATGAGGTTTTCCGTTTTTGCAATCCTCGTTCGTCGTCTAATTATTCCATTTTATACTGTTGAATATATCCGCTAAAGTAACCAATATCCACCCGTAGTGTTCGCCATAATGGTTGAATCAACCATTTGGCTCGAACAAACACGTTACTAGAAATTCGTTTGTATTCAAATGATCTTCGCTCCAGAAACAATGAAGTTTTCCGTTTTCACTGTCTCCGTTTCTCGTCTCATTATTCCGTTTTTTACACTGTTGGAAATATTCGTTAAAATACCCAATATTCCCGCGTAGATTTCGCCGTAATGGTTGAATCAACCAGTTGACTCGATCATGCACGTTGTCAATAGAAATTCGTTTGTATGCAAATGGTCTACGCTTCAACAACAAGTGCGATATATATGTAAATACTGCACCCAATTTGGTTATTTGTCTAACATAATGACGGCCACCTCGGTTAGTCATTTTACAGCACAATTAGTCTCGTGAGTTTCGTCGATATAACCTTTAGTCGACATTTTTAACTTGGACGATTTCCTATCTACCAGCCAATCAAAATATGATACCGGTCGTGGTTATTAAATCCAAGAAGCTTTGGGTGTTCGTTACCAACCAACAAAAAACTGAAGCGCGACATTACATGTTTACTTTTTGATGGGGGACTATCATTTAAAATTATTATGTTTAATTTATTCAAATTGTAATTGTGATTCACTCGTATCGTGTTGATAAGATACGAAATTGCTCTATAAATAGACAAAAAAAATAAAAGTTAGTTCAGAATATAATTTAATAAGCTTATTTTGTCAGATTGATCGAAAATTCAAGAATCAATCGATTGATCGCACGTCGGATAAACGGTGAACATTGTTGTAGAAAATAAATCAAATTGAATTCTGGCCTTAAATAAATAAACCAAGATGTCTGTGTGGCAAAAGCTGCGTTCATTATCATTATTTCGTCCAATTTTTGATCGAAAATTTCGGTGACAAATTGCTATGATTTCCTTCAAATTAACATGAGCCGCGGGGATATAAAAATCCCATTTCAACTTTCTCCCTCGTATTTCAAATATAAAAATCGATTTCTTTATCTTACAATAATTATATATTATAACGATTTTTGTCGTTGTTAGAGAAAGAAACGTATTTGCTCTGATTTCTTCTATCGCAGAAATTTATGTTCCAGGAGTCGGGTATAAAGAGTTACGGTAGTATTTTTACTGAAAGGGCGTTTATAATTTCGAATCTTAACGAAATTAACGAAGTATTTTTTTTTTTCTGATTTCATAAAAGCCTCACCAGACAAATATTGAGATTCTTCAATTTCAGACAGTGCCTTAATACCTTCAAATAGTACGACTTTCACGAAATCAAGGCAGTGTATTAAACAACCTATATATAATTTTTTTCTCAACAACAAAAGCCTATATTAAATATTAATAGCGTTCCAACGAATTTGTCGCCAAAATAATTTTGCATAATTACGCAACCAAAAAAATTGATCCGTTTTATTCAATTAAATCAGTAATGATTCATTTTCTCTATTTCAAACGTAAACAAATTTTACACTGTTTGAAGATAAAAAATATTCTTGGTAAAATCAAATCCCGAATTATGAAAGAATGCGTGGGTCACCTGAGAACATTCTTATCTTACATGAGATACCATCCCACATAAAGCATGTATTTATCAAATTTCAGGAAGATAGGGCCACACATGATGGCCGTAAGTTGCTTCTTGTTCGGAATTGTATTATCCCTCTATGGCCCTGCTGATTTCTGGCGAGATTTATTTGGTTGGACTGGACCAGAGCAATGGCTAGTGTATATATGCGCAGCTTCTTCAGGGGTGGTCTTAGGAGGGCTCGTTATACCAACTTTTGGAGAAATGGTTGTCGCCGCGAAGTGAGTAATTTTTTGATGTTTTTTATTTAGTTATAGTAACTTGTTTAGGTAGGACTTGACAGTTAGATGCAGCAGATATGACCAATTTTTTTTACAGCTTTTGGAAAAATTGATTGTTTTGGTCAATTTGTGAGACCTGCTGAAAATATTGATTTTTTCTTGTGAAATTTTTCTAAATTATTTATCAAATCAAGAATTTAAAATATTCAATACAACTTTGGAATCCTTTTCAGTATTTAATTTGTTATTGACAACCTATCGTAGTTTGAGTTAAGGCATTTAGTCTAGTGGCCAGCCTGTGCTGGGTACGTTTCCAAGAATATGTCGTTCACATTTGAGTACATTGATTCATCTTCTACTTGACTAAAATAGTACGCTTTCATAATAGCTCTGAATGAGACCAATTCTTAAACAAGACCAAATATATAATGCTGCAGCTATAACCTTCCTGCAATGCCAAGAGTCTAAAAAAATTTTTTTCTCTGTGTGAATTCGTGATCATTTCACATCAAATTCAAATCTGCATTTTTCTAACGCTAGATCGATGCGTAACATGTTACTAACTCTTCAAGTCTATAACTGAGCAGATTTGCATATAACACTAATTCACATTGTTCACTCTCAACAAAGTCCTTGTGCAAGCACACTGATATTCAACAATATTTGTTGAAATTAGTGTGTATGCCCAGGTCTTCAATTTTTAACCTCATTTTCTTTTGTTACAGACAAATGAAGCTTCATGACAATGAATTAGCGGAATATGGTCTTGTATCGGGTCTTTGGAACACTATGTTCTCTGTTGGAGATATATTGGGACCCAGTGTTGGTGGTGTCATGGTGGTGAAACTTAACTTTGAGAATTCCTGTGCTATCTTGGGGTTATTGATGTGTGTTTTGGTAAGCCATAGATACTATTTACCTAACGTTCCTAATTTTTAAAGGACTATAAGCACCATCAATAAATTTCTTGGATTTGGATTTTGTCCACACATAAGGCGTGGTACTGTTTTCGAGTGTAAGCAATAAAGCATGAAGCGCTACCTGATGAGTTGCAACAGAATTTGCCACTCTTCAAAGTACTTTTGGTGAAATTACCGTAGTTATTTTAGAGTGCTTTTAAGTAACAGAAATCCAACAAGAAAGAACAATGACCACATCTGAGTATATTGCCTGCTATAAATATATTTCCTCTGAATTGTGTTTTGTTATGTTATATGATTCATTCTGAAGTATTGGGCTTAATGGATTTTTTCAGGCGTTAGCAAAAGGTGTCCATTTAGCTGTAATTGCCTTCAAACGGAAAAAGTCGCCTCCTGAATCCGACAGTGATGGAAACTCTTCAGACGAAGATCAATCAGATGAAAGAAAGAGTTTATTAAGTCCGGAAAACCCGTCTTTACAAGCTTGAACTTCATGATTTACCTGTTCATTATTTGAAGGTTGTTCGACATTACATTTCATCAGAAAATGTGAGCTAAAGTAAAGCACATTTGTGTTAGTGTGCAGCAAGATTCTTGATTTAAATAGCATAGTGTTTTTTTACATGTCTTACAGCTACTTTGTGTTCATTTTTGAGGTATTGTTGATTATGTTTTAAACAGCGAATATATATAAGTATACCTGAATTTTTTGTTTGTAAGGTTTTTTTCAGTGTTGCGTCTTGTACTTGTAACAAATTTTCTTTAAATTTCTCATTTTACTGAAATAATGCTTCATAGTTTAATTCATATTTATCACAAGTTTTTTTTTTAAATATTCTCATTTTTGCCTGCAAGAAGCATTGCTATTAAGTAACTTTTCTTTTTATTTTTGTTTCAATATGGGCCTTTATATTGATATTATACAAAATATTTTGCAACATGCTCAAGTGAATGCAACAGACTATGCAATTGTAGCATAAGCTTGCCTTTGAAATCAATCTAATTACACATTTTATGTATTTTGTGTGATTACTTATATCCTTGTTCACTGTTTTTGTCTCACAGCATATCAATTTCCGAATGAAATCTTACAAATATTTTGAAACATGATTCTAAATATACCAATGGAGATAATGCATGATTCTAAATATACCAATGGAGATAATGCTTGTCTTTCTAACTCGCATATATCCTGCTGAAGTAGGAAGTCCGTAAGTCAGATCTGGTACAGGAATGGCTAATTTGTACAATGTTCCCTTCCAGATGCGTGGAGATAGATACCCTAATTTCTGAGCCGTCGGCGTTTCACTCGATTGGATGTATAAGAATAAATTTGTCTAAATGTTTTAATATATGGTCGGAATGTATATATAAATGCCAACAGGGCAACTGACAGCATTAGCACTTTAAAGCACACAATCGTACCAAATCGCACTACTATAGTCTTGAAACAAAAGTGCCAAGACCACTCACTGCAAATGCAGGTAGGCAAGTTCTGTTAAAATAAACCCAATCAATGCTAAAATGGTTATTACCAAGTATAAAACTCCTTGATTTTTTTAAACAATTTATTATGATTACATTTTATTTAAAGAAAGGATACATGAATGACACCCTGCAAGCGAGACAGGGATGTAGAGTTATTTACAAAGACTATGTTTATGACTGCAGTTAGTCTGTAATTTAGACTAAATGAAAGTTATGAATTAAATGCGGTGCCTTGGTCTTAATTGACTACATACAGTCAGCAAATAATAGGACCTCAAAAATGCTTGATGGGCATCATTGGACATTGAATTGAAGATTCGAACTAAACTCTGGTGTGTCCAGAAGTAAAATATCACAAATGTATGGTCATTTAAGCGGTAAATTTACAAATACCATAAAGTTTAAAACCATTTAAAATGTACTGTTTGACAACATAAAACCATGCATTCCATCAAATGAATGAAACTGACAATTCACTAGACATAACAAAAATAAAAAGAGTTGTGCTTGTTGTTATTATTTCTGCTGAAAACTGGAGCAGGGGTAAACGTGGCCAGGGGTGGTCTAATACCAAATAGTTTACAATTGCGAGTGTTTTAAAAAATTATTTCCAAAACTGGAATGATTTTGTAATTCAGTCATGCTCAGATGAAAACTTGCACAAATCCATACATCTTCAGGCCAACCAGATAAGTCTAAATATAATAATTTATTGTGCTGACAGTTTTTTACAACATCGAGTTAACCTATGTTTTGAATCTTCTTGCCTGGTGCACATTTTGGCCCCCAAAATCACAAGATAATATTTCTTAAAATCAAGAATATATTATATTGAATACCGAATGTATTGAATTTGTTTTGGAGCCCTAAAGTGGACCCGAATTACATAAAATGCAGGACGATTCATAGGTGAGATAAAGAAAATGAGACGGCTAAATCATCTAGCCCGGGGGTGGGCACACCGCGGCTCGCCAGACTTTTTGTGCGGCTCTTCTCGCTAACATAAAATATTATCCAAATTTTAACTAAGAAAAAACTTTAATGTAAACTCTTTCAATTTATTAAAAAAGTTTTTGTCAATGATTAAGACAAATTATGTTTTGGTATGAAAATCGCTGTAGCGTTGAATTTAAGTCAGTCAAGTCAGCAAATCTTTCGTCACAATGGTCAATGTTTATTAATGCGTCGGCGGTGTTGCAGCTTGATTGCGGTTAGTTAGTCTAAGTCAGTGTTCTTCAACCTTTTTTATCGAAGTATATCTTTTACAGTTTTTCAAGAACTTTGTATACCTTCACAAATACCAATGTTTATTTAAGGCTCAAATAAACAATAAAATTTAGGCACATATTGTACTGCAATATCATCATACAATCTAATAGGCTAGTGACCGCAAGTTCTAAATTTGACTGACTGCCTTAGCGTCGACGGGAATAATATTCGACGTAAATCAAACAAAGTGCATGGCAGCCGAAATCACCAACCCAGACAAATGTCCGTATTATCTATATAATTTGTGATGTAACAACGTGCTCACGTCGGTTCTTAGCGTTAATAACATTTTATATTTCATGTGCGCCGCGTTTGCATTGCTGTCTCCAATTGAATATTTTATTATATATATTAGAGTATGCTCAATCTGTCATAAGCTACTAACTCATAATAAAGTCAGCAATGTTAAATGGCACCATGAAACAAATCATGAAAACCTCTTAAGAGACTACCCTCGTAAATCAGCTATAAGGAAACACAAATTAAATGAGCTCAAATTGTGCCTATATTTGAGTATAGCTGCTTGTTTATCTATTTATTGTTATTGGACTCTTAAGTGAATTTTTTTTCTGTTCATGGTATTTCAATAATATTAATAAATTCACAAATTTTGCAGCTCTTTTAAAGTTCTGACTTGCAGCATGCGGTACTTATACTAAAAAATTGTGCCCACCCCCGATCTAGCCAGTGGAGGAGAGATCCTGTTCCACCATGTTCTCAAGCCCTGCCATGAGCTTATTTTATTGTGAGACAACTGATGATTAAATGCGATTGGATAAAACCGCGATATCTATAGGTAATAAACATCCAGTATAATTGACATAGTTTTGAAATCAGAAACAAACATCATTCATCTCCGAATTGTAAAGCTTGTCTTTGAATTTCTTCAATCTCTCTCATTTTTTGTTCAATTTTTTTCCGCAAATTTGGGTTTGTGGGCTGAAATAAAAAAAATAAATGTATCCACATTCCACATCAATAATTGTCACTAGTGAAGCTGAGAATGCTGTTTATTAAAAATTTGCTAAGTGATATCTTAATTTATGTGAATTTCAAGCAAGATACTTGGTTGATTGGAGTAGCATGTATAGTTTAATACTGTTTTTACTTACCGCCCACATGATAGGACTCCCCCTTTCTGATAACCATGATGATTTTGGAATAAGAGTTTTAATTTCAGCTGAATTAGCAGGCGTTCGAAGCACTATGCTTGAGGTTCCTTCAGAAGATGCAGTACTACCGATTCTGAATAAATTGATTTTTTTATATTAATTCTGATTATCAATGAATATACACATGCATAATTTGTGTTTAGTAATTGCATTTAATTAGGGCGAATTAGAGTTCTTTTTTCAGCGTGAGTGATGAAGAGAGAGAGAGAGAAGATTTTATTTTCATTTTGAGGGTAAATAAAAATATCGACAAATATGGACACTGCTGTAAATTCTCAAACACATTTTGAGTTTATTCAATATCTACAATTTCCAAAACATATATGCAACTTATTTCTGTTCATATAAACCAGGGGTCGGCAACCTACAGCCAGCGTAGTAATATAATCCGGCCTGCGATTCTTCACTGAATTATAGTAACAAAACAGCTGTTTTGACGATTATATTCTTTACATAACAGAATTTATTGTGAGACCTGTGTGGACTAAATTATATTATAACTTAACAAGTATAAAATTCACAATTACTTGTTCAATGCCCCTATAATTTAAATATAATTAGACAAAATGCAGAAAAGTTGATGCTAAGTGCAATGGGTTCAATGGCGCGAAAATATTCAAAAGAATTTTTTGAGAGGAAATAAATCTATATTCCATTTGAGAGATGTATCACTGCTTGAATTTATTACAAAAAGAATCATTCGTTCAGTTTTCAAATTTCTAAAAACATGTGCAGCCAATCAATGACTTGCAACCCTTACTTTTGGCCCATGAGCGACAAAAAGTTCTGACCCCTGATATACACCAACCTTTCTATATGATGTAGTATTACTATACTATAATACTTATATAGAAACAACTACTAAAACTGTATTAGTGTGACTTGCGCATATGTAAATCCACTAAAAATTGAATATACAAAGTACTTTTTATGCATGGGACATTAGGGGGAATAAAAGATTCTGAAATAGGCAAAGAAAGTAACTTAATAACGAAAAAGGTTGGAAAACAATGGAATACATAATTCTTTTCGGTATATCCTAAATAAGTCAGAATTTGCAAATTGCTAAATATATTTAAAATTGTTGCTTGTAATAGATAAAATTAATAATTGTTTTACTAACCTTGATCTTTGTGGAATAAGAAAAGGAGTATCTTGCCAACTTTCCGGTACAGATGTTGTATGGCAAGGAGTTTCCAATACTTGTGTATCAACCTACATGCAATAACATTTATTAGAATAATAAAACTAGTAGAACTAAAATCACACAGATCCAAACCATACTATATAGAAAGTTTGAGATATTTTCTTTCTGCTCGTTTGCATGCATGTCACAATTTAAATATTTAAGCTGCATAGTTGAAATCTCCAACGAAAGCACACATTTCCAAGTTTTAATGAGATTTATAGGACCAGCATTTAATAAAATTCAATGCAAAATAAAATGATAGTAAATTCAATCTAACTTTACCTATATCATTAACATGCAATAGATTGAACTAGTAAATTCAACTGACATTAAGCAATGGAATCTGGTTTTATATTAAATTTTAGCAAAGTAAAATATTGAACATATTATGATGAATATGCAACAGAAAAGAGAATATTTATTACAAGTTACAAAACTACTTCAAAATCTTAAAATATAAAAAGTTTACCATTTTATTAGCAGCTTTTTTGCGTGTAGTCTTCGGTGGCTTCCTCTTACGTGTTGTTTTTTTGCCTTGTGTGTCGCTACCACCTGCCTCACTAGATCCTGCAGACAATATTTCAAATATAAATGGCTATCTGCTATTGTTTGTTTGGACTCCCAAAATAACATATGCAAAAAGGTTCAAATTTTAGAAAAATCAGAATGAAAATTTTGATTTTATATTATTGTATTCAATTTTCAATCAATATCACAACCTCAAATTTGATTTGCTGAATTGAAAAACTAGATGAGACATTTTGAATTCTTATTTTAAATTCATTATTACTATAAAAAATAAAGGAATCATTTAAAAAACATAAATATTGGCCAATTCTAAATAATGTAACATCTTATTAACGTTATTGTAAAATTTATAATTATATATAAAATAAAATACTCACCAGCTATATTGATAAGATCTTGCAACTGTTTATCAACTGCATCAACAACAGCCTAGAAATACCAAACATATATAATATGAATATCATTAAATATCATTGCATCGTTAAATTAATTAAGTCTGTGAATCAGTAACAAATAACTGTCTAATTAATCCCATGCCCACACAAGGACTGGTAACTAGACGAGAGGATGGTTCACGATATGATTAAGCCGTCCCGCAATTGAAAATACGTACCTTACGGCTCTCTTGACCAAAAAGGTTCCGACTCCTGGTTTATGGTAACTGCCGAGGTTAATTAGACAATAATATAAACAAGCTAAACTACACCGCAATACCAGGGAGCACAATTTGCTTCAATCCATTGATGTTACTATAAGGCAGTGGTTTCCGAACCGCAGCACTCAAGCCATGGAAATATTTAATATGACCCACCGAACTTATGTGAAACAGTTTCAGCACTTTGTTTTCACTTTTTTGCGTTCTAGATACCGCCAATTGTTACGTCATTATCCTATCACAATTTAGGCACATATATATTCGTGACAATTCGATATATAGCCATGACAAAAATCAATCCTATTTCTAAAGTTACCTCTGTTGGAATGATGTTTTCCTTCTCAATATTTTTCTGTTTAACTTTGCGTTGTTCATTATTGTTATCAGTGCACTCAGTTTCACCAAATTCTATAAATTCCTTGACAGTCATATTTAAAGTTTCAGGTGGAAGATGCAACATTAATTGATCGACTCTTGCAAGTGTTTGTCGTTTTAACGTTTCAAAATAGTGTACGATCATCGTTCTTTCTGAATCAACTGAAAATAAAAAAAATTTGGCATTGATAAGTGCCTAGAGCAGAATAAGTTTGTTAATTAGAGATATAAAAAATTTGTATCTTCAATGATTGTCGCTGTGAAAAGATTTATCGCCATTGCCATAAAGTAGGGCACAGTTTTCCAGTTCCAAGATGTTCCAACATTTGGTACAATAAAACAAACACTCAATTTGTCTCTGAAACGAGGGCGTACCATGGATGTATCCATAATAATCTAAATTAATCGTGACGTGTGTCAGCGTGTGGCATGTGACCAAAATTGTGTTTTTTTTGCTAAAGACACTTGAATGCTAGTGAAACTTTTTTCTTCAGTAAATTGGATTCTTTTTTCTTTCAAGGAATCAAGTGATGACGTTTTTAGATTACGCTTTATTTTAGTTTGTCTGTTCGCTGATTTTTGGCGCTATGGAGGCGCAGATTGCCTTGTAGGGAGGGGTTACTGGTAACAATTTACTGGGATTCAGAGAACTGTGTCATACTGCCTTAATAAATGATATGTGTTTTTTAGAAATCACATATTTTTTTATGTGTTTCTACTTCCCGATTTCAATTTACTTCATGCTACAGATGTGTTTACGCTCTGTTTACTGCATTGCGGCGTGTATAGCTAAACTCAAGGCGGCAAGTAACAAACAGAGCAAAATGGTAGTTTGACCCCCAACCATTACTGCATTATTTTTATACTTTGTCATTAATTTTGGGAGTGTTTTCACTTAGAATTATTGGATAAAAAATACGTTGAATTAGAGCAAAAAATAGATGTTTGACCTCAAGCAATATTTTTATACCTAAACATTAATTTTGGGAGTATTTTTGCGTAAAAATCATCTTATAAAAAATACGCTGAATCAGAGTCGTAACTTATCAGTGGCGAGGAGTCTGGCAATCTTTTCTCCCATAACTATCTTTACGCAGTTACGGGGATTCCTATCATTCAACACGATGTCAAGCCGCGATACTGCCAAGCGATTATGAAATATGGACTTTTTTGCTTTGCAATTTTCGATCAGGCCAAATCTTGCAATCTCTGAAGCTAGTATGTAGTCGACAATTGTGGGGCTACAATTTTTTTGGATCTTTAAATTACCGGATTATTGATTCAAAAACCATTTAAACCGATTTTTATTGATGAGCAATTGCAGAATTGCAAACTTTCCCCATGCAAAATTGAATTCGCTCCCGTGCATTTGTGCGGAGCGCCAGCACCCGCCATGGAATCCAGTCTGGAAATCACAGACCACCAGACAGGTCAGCAGCTGGCACAGTGGTACCGGTACGACTGTAGACTGGTAGATCAGTGGATAGAATTTTTAGATTTTATGTCACCTATGAGATATAGCCTACCGGTAGCCTAGATAAATCTGCAGCTTACCAGTAGATTTCCAATCTTCATACAAAGCATCAATTCGATCAGTCCTTTCCAAAGACAAGGTCGATTTTGGTTTCAGGGTGGTTCTCTTTTTTCGTTTTGGCATTTTCAAATAAAATCGCTAACATACAGAGTTAAAAATACTCAATCCAGCAATAACGCTATCGGCTTCACAAGATCTTAATTTTGAATCTAATTCTGTAATTCCAACAGTCTAACAACGATAGTTTCGGATCAATTACGGACCCGTCGACTACTTTCTGCTTAAGTTTAAACCTTTGTTTTGGACTTTGGCGCTATTAATACCGTTGCCAAAGAAAAAATACAGTCTCCGAATTGTTTCCAATATACCACTCGTAAGGTATGAATGAACACATTTTTATGCAATATAATTTATGAAATTATATCATATCTTAAAAATATAAATATTTAAATAAATTTGTGCACAAATGATAAGCAAGGAAAAAAAAATAAAATAACTCTTGAAGTCAATAACATATTTTATCTGGCATCTACTATTTGGTGTGTGAAATACAGCGCTAGAGAGTCCTTACGAATGCTAACAGACATTATCAAAAGAGAATGAGAAAGAGTGAGGAAGATAGTTTATTTTGTCAAAAGAGAAAACAATAAGTACATACATACAGTGGTGGGATTTAACATTTTTGTCTACCGGTTCCTTCACAAAAGTCATATTTTCCAGCCTGTCTGTTACAACAGAACATTGACAGTGACCAGTAATGCCAACCGGTTCGCTGATCTCATAAAATTCAGCGAGACCATAGATTTTACATAACAAATCCCACCACTGCATACATATATGAATATCACATACACAGGTTTTTTCGGTACATGACTGGGAGGCAATTTGTGTTATCAATTACTTTAGAGACAAATAACTTTTTTGATTTTAAATTGAGTTATAAGCACTGTCCGATTTTGAATCGTGTCCATATTTTTTGTATAATCGTATTATTTCTATTTTATTTTTTGGTGGGTGGACACGTACTTGTACGTTTTTTAACTTTATTTTAAGTTATGCTCGCCTTCCAGGTATCTCTGTATTTGTTTTGTTGTCTGTTTACTTTTTTGTATTGTTCTGTATTTGTTGTCTGTTTACTTTTTTGTATTGTTCCGTTTTAGTCAGAGAGCCGAAATAAAATGATTGATGATAAGGTATTTGTATTTAAAGTGTAAGAAAAACAAGCGTGTTCTGTCCCGCGCTCGCCGGCGTGGCGCAACGTGCTAAGAGTTAGGAATACGCTTGCCACCACACCTCTGCGTATATCCGAATCCCGTGGGGTTTAAATATGTGCAAGAAGATTGCTAGACTCCTCGCTGCCGTAAGGTAACGTAACGTAACCGCTGGTCTGTTACGGCTTTCTCTACTATCAAGTCCATGCATCTCAAACAAATAACTGGCTGACTAATCTCATACGACATGGACTGGTAGCCAGACGGCATGCCGTGATACTCCACGTGATTCAGGGGTCATCGACTTTCCACTCCTCCGGGATAAAAATGATACCTTATCCTTATCCTCTGTTTTATGCGTTAGAAAAATTAGGCTTGTTATGTCCAACTTTATCACATATGTAATGTGGTATTTCACAGTCTAATATTTCGTCTTTCTAATTTCCTAATTTGGATATCCCCAAGACTGATTCACAATGGAACTTTTTTTGTTGTTACAGTATTATAGAATCAAATATACACAATTGATTCAATTAATTGACATTCAAAACGACAAATATGTAGTTACTGCAGAAAATGTTATATTCATCGAATTGTTTTATGCGAAAGAATGCAGCGAAACGAAGGGGAGATCAACCAGACTGCTGCTGTTTTAGAGTCCGTTTTTGGAGGATCTTATCTTTTATTTTACGTTTCATCATCTAAAATGTAAAACGTGGCTGGGTAATGAATGATAAAATAAAAATACAAGGAAGCAACGTTAAAATATATGGACACATGGAGCAGCGCGAAGCACTCCTTACCTTTGACGTTACCGGTACCGTATCCTCAAAAAACTTCCGAGTTTTCAGTCACAAGAATTTTCACAGTCAGCCGTCACGCTTGGCGGATCAAAAACCGTGTTCCCATGATTAAAAAGTAATCCAGCGCAATTTTGGATGAAACATTAGATCTCATAAGATTCATATAAAGTTCAGGAATAAATAAAAGTAATAGCCTTCTGGCAAAAAAATCAATCTTTAACCACTGAAAATTTTTTTAATGATGATGATGACGAAAAACATTAACAACATAATACTGAAACGATCGGTATGTCCACTGACGTGTCCAAAAAGCGTCCCTTAAAATTGTGAGTGGTATATTTACCTCGACATTGATAATGACGTTGAACCACATCAGTTCTCGTAATCGCTCAAAATCAACATCGGAGTAATCAGAGTTTGTCATGCCATATGTGTCTGAATCCATGACGTCAAAATCGGTAAATCCTTCCCAGTATGTTACATTTTTATCTGGAAAAAATCCCTTTGATTTATTAAACATTTTCGCATTCCGGTGCTCTATGTTTCTATTTGAAGAATTGATAGATACAAGGTTTCAATTCTATAAAGAATATTCAATGTGAATTACAAAAGTGTTCTGTTATAGTAAACGCAAACTGTCCGTTGTGTGATTTGAGAACGTGTGGCTTGTTCGTTACAATATCACCCTTTGCGATATCTAGTGCTTTTAAGTTGGTAGACTTTGGATTAAGAATAAATAAAACGAAGACAAAAGTATAATGAAGTAGATGAAAATATTTAATGAGTGTGTAATTAACGGATGTTAGAGTTTTCATTACCTCGATTTTTGCGACTCGATTCATAAGTTTTCAATCTCTTAAATTTCTCTGTACATGGATAAAAATAGAAAACTATTGGGCATTCTGAATCGTCAGCATCTTCGAATATATAGAATTCACGCCATGATTCTTGCTTAATTTTGTCAATGTGTATTGGTGGAAACTTCAGGCCTCCCATTCGTGCCAGTTTAACTGCTTTCTGTAGTACCTGAAAAGTTTTGTAAATGTTGAAATTATTTACTGTAATTTAGCAAAAATTTTTTATTTTAATACGTTTATAAGTTTCTTTTTTTGTTTGTCTACTTCAATACCAAGCACGATTTCTTAAAGAAGCAAGACAGCCATGTTCAAGCATAATATTAGTAATAAACGGTATTGCATAAAGTAATTGACTGACAAACAGTACGGGGGCCATCAAACAATAAAATCTGATAATCTTCAAATAAAATGAAACAGCAAAATTGTTGGTGAAATATCGCGTCCCCTTGTACATGGAGGATATTTGAAAAATAAAAAAAGTAATAGCTGCCTAGCGACTTCTTTCATCTTATAAGCAATGAAACATTTACATCGATTAGTCGATTGGTTGCAAGAAAAAAGATTTTCCCAGCAACAATACCATCAACAGGAACTCAGCAAAACGACCCATAGGTTCACTTTTTTCCCAATAAATACGAAACTACAGTCAATATATGTTGTGTGTAGCATTTATACCCTGCTGGTGACGAGTATGTTATCTTACCCAATGTTCTGATATTTCTTCTCCGGAATGAGCAAAGTCAAAAACGAATAAAATGTCCGTGGCTCGCTGAGGACGCAGCACAGGATTTGTCGGTACGTTAACTAAAAGACCTGGTAAAAAACGAGCGCTGAAGATGTATATGCGGCATATTTTCATTATTTATTGTCAGCAACAGTACTAAGGTAATTTCAGCAAGTATCAAACTCAACCATATCATGATGGTAAATTTATAAAAATCGCAACATTACCTCCATCGACGAGCAATGTTGTGTCTTCAGAGGGTGATAGTCCCTCCAAAGTAGTTGTAGGATCCTCTCCTGTGTCAAAATAGTATAAAGACTAATAAGATTACAAAACTCCAAAATATTTACAAGTAAAATACAATTGCTGTTATTGATCTAAGCTGAACATAATGAATTTGAAAAGAAATATACTAATCGATTTATAAAGATTATTTATGGGCTAGGTAAAAACATAGAATCAATAAAAAGTAAAATCCGTCATCAGGATATTAATCGAAGAGTAGCCTAGTTTTCAGTAAAAACACTATTCCCAGAGACACTAAGTAGCGTGTGCGCAAGATAAAGTATTTATCATTCAGCCCAATTAACCTTCCTTTGGTCTGTAATAAGGATTCAGTTCAAATCGTTGGATGTCATCATGGCCTCGAGCAAAGTTCAGAATTTCTGGAGTCCGTTTGATAAAGAAACTTCTGTCCATAAATGAGTGAAGTTGACTAAAAAAATAAGTTTGATTTTCATGTTACATTCACACGGGCTTAGTATTCTCGTGTGTATTTTTTTAATAAATATATTACTATATTATACTATTATAAAGTCGATATTTGTATTGCTTTGCTAATTTATTTTTTGGAGGAGAAATATGCCCTTTTCTTCATTACTGGATGGCTTTCAAATAATGTACTCATAATTGAAGAAATATATGCTTATACTTGAACCAGTCGACCATCCTTGATTTCATACTATCGATGAAACCAGACGAGTTTCGCTTTTTTCTTAACTTCTCAACTTCGCTTGAAACATTATCAAACAAATCTAAAACACATAAAGTATAGCAGAAACTAAATTTTGCAGTACATACTGTATATCATCAGTTGAATATATGTGTCCGATGTACTATTTTTAATAAATGTCTAATGAAAGTTTATATAACGAAACCCGATTATGGGGAATCCTCCCATTTGAAATAAATGAAATTATTAATGTGATTTTCTTATTGTACGTGTCAAAAGCTAACAAGAAATCTAGGTAAAAAGTTAGAAACACAAAAAAAAATTTCGTTTGAACAGTGTAATCTGTATTTCTTTCTTAATGGGATTTTTTCCTAAGGCAATATTATATAGATTTTACAAAAACAAACTTTAATAAAAAAATTTCATTGAACTTTTATCGAACATCAATTTCAAAACCCACCACTTTCATCTTCCTCTTCACAAGGTATACGAATAACTTTCGCCAATCGAAGACTAAACACGCTTCCAATTACTCCTTGAATATAATGTAACGTAGTCTCGGGATTTTGTCTGTTGACAATTCCACGATAAAATTCACTGTTGAAATACTTGATGTCGATGTTTATTCCATACTGTGGAAGTTCAAACTCAAACGGTGTAATGTTGCATTGAGCTGAATTGTTCAATTTAAAAAATGAATAGACGCGATTATACACACCAAATATAATTTTGCGAAGAAAAATATCAAGCGATCAAACACAACCAACTTGTTACAAAAAGTCATCGTTTTAATATGATCACTGTTAACGTTACTTAACTAAATTTTTTATCGCTGTTGCTATTAGTTACCACGGCATTTCTTCGACTTCAAACGTAAGTATTGACATAAAATTCAAGTATATTATCTCATTTTAAAATAAAACGAGCTTGGTATCAATAAACAGTGATCATTATGCTTTTTAGTCTGACTTTTTTAGTTTTTCATACATTTTTCGTTTAATAATAAACGTTTAATAATAAAATATAAATTTTACCATGATACGACCAAGTATCAACAACATCATGAACTTGATGAGAAGCCAGTATCAAATATGGAACATTTGCTTCTAAGATGTATGGTTGCATATCAGATAATTTCATTGATGAATACTGTAAAATGATTGAAATACGTTGGTTAGTGTAATAATGTTTGAGAGAATTGTTCTTTTCTAAAACCAAAGTTTTTGATAGAGATAATAGATGTGATATTTATGTAGATATATAGATGTTTGTTGCATGCAAAGCATTGCTATATTTACTAATTATCAGTGGCGGCGCGTGGTCATTTTGACAACCGGGGCAAGCTACTGCGGGACCAAGTCACCCCCATCTACGGGGACAGGATGAGCGCTGTAAGTTCTCCCATCATTTTATGAGTATAAAAACCATTCCATCGGTAACAACCAATCGGCAAAAGCGACAATTTTTAACGATAAGAAAGTGTCTTTAAAACCGGTCCAAGTCAAGGGATTATAAATATAGACATAGTTTATTTTGAAACCTCTTTCAAAAGGAAAGGCAATATTTACCCAGATAAATACAATGACATATTAACAGAAACTTCGGGAAAGCAGACAAAACCTAAAATAAGGTTTAAAACGTTACTATGAAGGAAGGAAAGGTAATGCAAAGATAAGGACATGCGTCGCTCACTCATAGATATATATGCTGCTAGACTTCTACTGCTTGAACATATATGCAACACGCCGCGGTTTCTTGGAAGCAAAATGCTCAATAACGCGCTGATTAAAGTCATGCATCCCAGAAATAACGTCTCTGTGAATGGATAAAACAGCCAAGGAATTTAATCTATCTTGCTTCATTGTGTTTCTGAGATACGTTTTAATACGCTTCAGCGTGCTGAATGTTCGCTCTGCGTCGGCGGAAGAAATAGGCGTCGTCAAAATGATGTCCAGAAATTTTGCAGACGCCCCAAAGGTAGTTACTAGAGTGTTATCTATGAGGAACCCATAGAGCGCGCAAGTTGATGTGATGTTCAAAAAAGTTTGATTGGTGTATATACATCGCAATTCATTTTCCAATTTACCCACGTTTATCATGGGGTAAAGTTTGGAGACAGTAGCCAACAAATGGATGGGAAATTGACGTGCAAATTTTGAAAAATTTTTGGGGTTCATCAAAGAGAACGCGGCAAGGTGTTCAGTGCGCAGACGATCGCCTATTTGATTCACCAGAATGTCACAGCATTCTTTTGCAGACAAAATCAAACGCTGCGTTGTTTGCCCGCGGCGTAAAGAAGCACTCCATGTGTCGTCGTATTTTATTGTTTCCCGGATACGAGATACAGCATCGCAGAAGTCTGAAATACACGACTGCACAGACGTTCCATCCATTGGCCTTGACTGTAATGCGCCGTATAATACATCTATAGCATATATATTGGTAGATGAATGTGATGTTACCGTATATTGCTATTTCGTAGATTGTCTCAGAACTTGCAAGTCACCCGTTCACCCTTCAGCTTCAACGCCCACGTGAATGAAGATGCGTTAAAAATCTCTATATGTTTTTATTCGTAAATTTCCACAACACACAGAATATAAATCTTATAACATTTATCCAGACTAGCTTAGAATGGTTTACATCGTCTTCTCTCCCTATCGAAAGATATCGGAGTCGTATTTATACGTTGATCATAAATCCAATTAAATGCTGTAAACGTGAGCTCGAGATTCACGTTTTAACAGAAACTCCTATTATCTCAATAAGGGTAATTAGGTACATCGTACGGATGGGAACTTAGAGATAATTATTTCAATCAGTGCCAAAGGTCTTTAAATTTTAATTTGATAATGACTGGGTGGAACATGTTATGTTTCTTAAACTGGTGTAATTTGATTCCTACGAAAGTCTTTGTTTGAATTTTGGGAAAAATTAACTTTGTCATGATGATTTCAACATGAAATGGGGTACATTTGGGGGTTAGTTGCTATACATCCACGTGATACAATATTGTGGAGAAAAAAAGCGAGAAAAAATGAAAACTCACCATCTTCTAGCAGACGCTTTAGACCTGCCGCCTCCCTCACAGAGCGTTCGTCCCAAACCGGATAGCTCTGAATGCCATTGAAACACTCAATGAGCTCAGACCTAATTTCGGACACGCCCTGCACCACGCGTGATTGGAAGTTCCAACGTGTTGGTGCACAAGCTGGGAGACGGCGGCTACATATTTGGCGAAGGAGGTCAGAGCGCTTCGGCGAAACGGAAAAAAAATGAAGAAAACCCCGAAACATTTGCAAAAAATATACGGACGAGAGGGGTATCAAGACACATATTTTTAATAACGAGGTTAAATTGGTGTGCATAACAATGTAAAAAATGCGCATGAGGAAAATCTTCTTTTATATAAACTTGAACACCATGTTTCGACCCACTCATGACTGCCGCGCCGTCATAAGTTTGAGCTATCAATTTTGACTTCGCGTTGTAAGGCTGTAACACTTCTTTCAGTACAGCCGATATCCCGCAAGCCGTGCGATCAACGACTGGTACAAAGCTGTGAAATCTCTCGGTAGGTTTACCATCTTTCACAAACCGAAAAATCACAGCCAGTTGGGAAACGCACGTGATGCCAGTTGTCTCGTTAGACTGAATCGAAAGGAACTGACAATTCTCAATTTCCAGAGCCAAATGTTGTAAATAAATTTTATACATTGAGTCGAGCAAATCATTTTGGATATCCTTAGATGTCCCTTTCGAAACAGTTGCGGCATCAAGATGATCTCTCAATACTGTATCTAGGGATGCGGTGTATTCCACCATATCCAAAAATACCCCTCTATTAGAAGAGCCAGCCCGTTCATCGTGCCCACGGAGGGACAGCTCGTGACAACCAATGAACTTCAAAACATCTATCAATCGACCGAGAACATGGCTGTTTTTCTCGACGTTTTGGTTGTGCCGACGAATAGAAACCGCGCGTCCTTCATCCAACTGTGCTGCAATATTAACATTTCCGAATGTTCGGTATTTTACTGCATTGTCCAGATGCTCCATAGAAGATTGATGATCCCTGGCACGCTCGGAAAGATGTTTAAGATCTCTAAAACCAAATTTACACCAACGTGAGTCACGGGCGGTAGCAAAAAGTAGGCAATAAAAACAAAAAAGTGCATTTTTGTCCTCGCTGTGTAGGTCTCTAACTGATTCAAATAGCGAAACAAGCGACAAAAACGAAGGCGATGAAACTATCAACTCTTCAAGCAACCAACGAACGAGAAGGAATGCGTGAATATGTCAACACGTTGTTGTAAGAAACGTCGGCATTGTGTCGTCATAATTTCGGGGCTAGCCCCGATCGGCCCCGATGATTTAGTAAAAGAAACATAAAACAAACGAGACAAACGCGGCGAGTGGAAGATAAAAGAGAGAATACGATATACAATGAGCAACCGGGGCAAAATCGGCGTCGCCCCGTCGAAGGCTTTGCGAGCGAAAAATGAACCATGTCGGGAGAATATGGCTAGTGTAGACAGTCTGTGCAACCGATATTGAGGTATTTTTCGAATATTTTTTATTATACCGAGAAAACGGCCCTATTGACGCGCCGCCACTGCTTATAGAACTTATATTAATGTGTTGAAATTTTGCATAAACTCACCAAGCTTCCTACAGTTTCGCTACTCATGCAATATCCGAAGTAATCCACAATTGTCACTGGTTGATGATATTTCTTCTTTTGAGCTGATACGGCGCTGTTAAAAAGACATAAAGACCATCTTTTGTACTATCAACTTATTATCTGAGTGTGTGCTCTCTTGTTTATAGTTTTTTCTTATTATTTAATTGCTCATTTTTTACCCGGTTTTGATGGTCAGTGAATACAATATGTGATACCCATAGGGATTAAGTATTTCGTAACTCTGGTATACACAACTGGCCAAGAACAAAGAAGTTGTTGATGAAAAACGAATGTATACTTCATAATAACTGAGCCAAAGAAAAGTACCCGAATTCAATCATCTTT